ACGAGGGGATGGTACAGTTTGCTGGTTTGTTTGTTTTTAGAATCAAGCCACATTTGATTATCTACTGTATCCACCGCGGAGAATCGAGCCCCTGATCTTAGCATTATAACTCCCTAGACTTACCGGTTTTTTCACGAGGGGATGGTACAGTTTGCTTGAATTAGTTTAGCATTTTTACCAATGTTATTTCTTTACCGGAAACATATTATTTTGTAAAAACCACAACACTAGTAATTAGTTAACAGCAAATTGTATTTGTTTGTTTTGTTGTTAAGCGCGAAGAATTATCTGATTTGTGCCCACCACGTGTATCATACTCCAGTTTTTAACGTAAAAAGCCTTCAAACTTACCGCTGAACCAATGAGGAGCAGTATCTTTTACACACACACACTCTGTTAGTAGAGTAACATAAAAAATTCACATATGACAATATAAGTCAGTCCATTTAAGCGAAGCACACGGATAAAGTCCTCTATGCTTGTTCTTTCTGACATGAGCTTGGTAAATATAACCCTTTAAGGTTCTCTAGACTTGTTCGTTCTGACATGAGCTTGGTAAATAAAACCCTTTCGTAATGCCCAGTTTTACCTGTACCTAACTGAAAGATATGATGAAGGAGTACAGCTGAGTAGCCCCCTTTTAAAATTATTTGTAAGTATAGTTATATACAACTGACCCGTTACTTCTAGTAAAAAGTCATTGCAAATATTAAAATACGTCTAAAATATTTGCCACCTGATGACGCATCATACTATCTTCCCTTATTCACCAAACAGACAGTTGCACAATTTTCTCTTTTGGACAAATGTATATAATATGAATCAACGAACTCATACCACTGATAATACATATATAGACCGTAAACGATTTGCAATTCAACGATTTAGACCGCTAGAGATAATTTCTTTAAAATAATTTGCAATTTATCAAAGTTAAGCCTAAAGACAAACGTTTTGAAGATAACATAATTAAACAGATTATAAGCTCGGAAACACCGCAACTAAAAACCTAGTTTTTACTTCCTTCTCAGAAAATCTAACGTGATACTCCTTTTATCTAGTAGAGCTAAACATTTGAAAAAAACGATATTTAAGTTTAACCTATTTTCACATGTCTCTGAAAACATAATTTTTCTTAAAATATTCAATGTTATGTCATGCAAAACGTTATAAAATTCACAAATACAGTAAAAAATATCGATTTAAGAGTATCTTCTTATGGGGATGAAAAAACACACATTAATTCATTTATTTAATAACTGATATAACCTAATACAAACATCATTTTCTCAGCGCGTGGATTACTCTAACTTTACACCACATTTTACACGCGAGAAGTACGACGCTCTTCAGATTTTCAGCTCAAAAAAAAAATTTAATCTTATTAAACTTCTTGTCAACATTTACTTGCGTCAGAGTTTGTATGGAGTAAAGCAGGAATTGAACGACATAATATTTTGTTAAGGATTCAGTAATAGTCGAGAAGGATAAACTATCACGTAATCGTGACGTAGATTGTCAAAAATTGACGTCATTAGCTAGCTCGTTACTTAATGATTTTTAAAGAGGAAGCTGTGAAATACAATACGATATAAGATAAAAAATTCCTATATGTTGACCAATGTGTTTATTTAAAGGAAGGTTAAGCTGAAATCGCATAAAAAGTAAATATTAAAGTTTCAGCAATTATATGACTTTATTTAAGAAAGCTGTCTGGTAGAAATGTTTTATAGCTGATATATTTCAACCTCTATAGGTACGTTCAGATAATATGTTTATATGTTGACTAACACCATTCCAAACATCAGTTTCATTCTACAACTGATATCAATACGCCAGTTATTTGATGTGCATATTTGTCAGTTTCTTCTATAAATGTTGTATTTCTATTTTCAAGCCTTCGGAAAATTACTTAATATTGTTTACAAATTAAAGTACTTTTAACAACGATATTAAGACATGCAATATATTATAGCGATCACGTGTTTTCAAAATTATCCTGACCAAAAGCAAAAATTATAACAATTAAACACCGTGATTATGGGATAGAAAACAGCATTATTTGAATCCGTTGCTGCAACTTTCTGTGTTGAAATTATTATCGTAGCGAAAATGAAAGTCGTTGCTGAATCAATTGTTAGGTGCAGTGTGAAATTATTTTTGTGACTGAGCTGAATACCTTGCTGCAACCTCACGTGTTAAAATTATTATTCTGACGAAGATGAAAGTCACTGCTGAATCAATTATTAGGGGCACTGTCTGATTATTTTTCTGACTTACGTCCATGTTTCTCAAGCTGAAATGAATGCTGTATCTTATTAACACGTCTCTCCTTTTGGTGCAATTTTAATTGTAGAAAGAAATAACCGTAATCTTGAAGATATGTTCCAACAGGTACTAATGGTTTAATTTTCATTCTGTATTCAGAATGTTTTTCGTGAACGTTTAAGCCAAAAATATAAACGGTTTTATTTTATTGCCTTCTTTTATAGAGTGATTAAATACTTTGGAGTAGGTGACGATGCTATTTTCTCAGAATAAGATAGAGGTAAATCTGCCTTGCATATAATATGAAATGTATGATTAAAACATATTTCATTCAATTGAAACAAAATAGTTTCAGACTAAATTATCAATAGTGTTTTATGAACTTAATTATCTCATCATTAATCGTAATTAAGCAAGACCAATGTTTACTAATATATTTGATACCCAAACAACGATTTGTTCAAGACTTAACACTTCAATTTTCCGTGTTTACATTTATAGAAATCGTAGGAACTTGAATTATTCGCTCTGTTAAACAAAGGAAAATAGTTTTAACTGTTTGTCATGAGGTAGTCCCCTGGTGGGTTATAAGGTAACTTTGTGAACTTACAACAATAAAAGCCGGGAATCGATTCTCCGCGATGAACGTAGCGCATTGTGTAGCTTTAAGTTAAAACAACAACAATCGATTCTCCGCGATGAACGTAGCGCATTGTGTAGCTTTAAGTTAAAACAACAACAATCGATTCTCCGCGAGGAACATAGCGCATTGTGTAGCTTTAAGTTAAAACAACAACAATCGATTCTCCGCGAGGAACATAGCGCATTGTGTAGTTTCAAGTTAAAACAACAACAATCGATTCTCCGCGATGAACATAGCGCATTGTGTAGCTTCAAGTTAAAACAACAACAATCGATTCTCCGCGATGAACATAGCGCATTGTGTAGCTTCAAGTTAAAATAACAACAATCGATTCTCCGCGATGAACATAGCGCATTGTGAAGCTTTAAGTTAAAATAACAACAACAACAACAATTATAAAGTATTTATTACAAATGTTTACATGATTTTTTTTCTCTTCAAGAGTTTTAGCCTTGTAAATGTAATATACATTTGCAGAAAACTTGGACATTTTCCAAATTTCAGTGCAGACAGTGAGATTCAATCGTACGAACTTGGAGTCTAAAAGTAGTTTTGAGCTTCCTAAAGACATTAAGAAATGATATATAATTTATTCTTCTAGTCACCGCACATATAATCGTGAAAACTCATATTTATTTCGCGTCATCGTGGAGAAACCAATTCAAGAAAGATTTGCTAATTTCTATATATCCAAAGTTCATTTTGTGCGCCACGGTATTTATACTGTGTTTCGTAGACGTGTTAATCTTTGCAATGAACAGAAACTTGTAGCAGAAAGAACTAAATTCAAGAAGAGACTTTTAAAATTAAAACGGCAATGTCGTTATTATCGTTTCAGACTATTTTTCAGTTTTTCATTGTTACAATTCTGAATTAAAATTATACGCCATCCTCGTCCCTCCAATCATCAGTCTATGTTAATATGAGCATATTTCCAATAACCCCTTCCTTCCTTTCATCCTCGATATTGTCTTGATATGAACATGTTTCAAGTAACATCATTCTTCCCTCTCATCATCAATATTCTGTTAATATTAGCATGTTTCAATTAACACCACTCTTCGCTCCCATCATCAGTATTCTGTTAATATGAACATGTTTCAAGTAACACTTTTATTTTAAGTTACCATAAGGCCCTATATACGTATGATTGCAAATACTGAGAACATTTAGCAAATAAAACTTTAAAAAAAGGTTACATCAGTCGCCATATCACTTTCTTGATAAAAAAGAAATACAAAATTAATTGACTTCTCTGTTAGTATTTTTCATTATGAAAATTATTATTAAACTTTTGCATCGAGCTGAATAACTGGGATGTGCCACGTGATCAAGTCTCAGCTGCCAATGTAGAACGAGAAGTTCTGAAAATAAATCTGTATATTTAAGGACGCCAGGTTTTTACAGCAATCTTGAAATCAATTGGGGTGCACAGGTTATGGTTACGTATAAGTGTGCCGACAGTGTTTTATGAACATTGTTTTTCCTCAAGTACTTTTCACCCAAGACCAAAAACTACTCCACGTAGCATTAGTTAAAGCTCTGAATTAACGTAGTTACAGTTCTTTCTATATTTTATGAGTTGGTTATTAGTAATAATTTCCAATGAAAAGTTAATATATATAGATCAATTAAACCAGTTCTGTATAATAAAGTGACTGGAAGTACGTAAAGCCAGAAATCAATACAAAAACAAATATTAAGACCTGTGCTTAGAATCCACTGAATCATAATTTGAGTACTCTCATTATGAACCCTATTTCTAATGTATTTCACGAAGCTTACCCAACTTGAGGTATTTCAGTCTTTCATAAATCTGTATACTAAGCTAACAGCCCCCCAATGACACAGCGATATGTTTGCGGACTTACAACGCTAAAATCCGGATTTCGATACCCGTGATGGGCAGAGCACAGATAGTCCAATGTATAGCTTTGTTATTAATTGCAAACAAAAAAGCCAACATTTTAAAATAATCTACAGTTTAAGATAGTTAAAAAAAAAGCACTTCAGGTCTTACCTAATTTGAATTTTGCAGTTACGGAAAGTTTAACATCTCACACTTATTCAAAGTTTACTCTTAATTATTCATTTTTGATGTGAACGTATGATTGAGTCTGCTTAACTATGGAATATTAATTTACTTGAAATTTCATAAGGGAAATAAAAGGTACGGAAAGTTAAATGGGCAAGCTTGGCTTTGAAATATTGAAGCTTAAATTTCTACGTCAGACTGTTCATAAATCAGAGTAGCCCTATACAACATAGTAAAGTGTACGTGCTATTTATTTTAGGAACTCAAAATGCTCCACAAACCATCATTATTAACCTTAATTAAAAATTATAAGAAGCGTATGTCTTACAGAAATTAGAGTCTAGTAACGAGAACGTGCAATTTTAATTGGATTCAAACAAAACACTAGTTAATTTTCGCGAAATTCTTTAAATTTGTACTTAATTTACAAAATAAAGTAGTGCACATTTTTTACATCACATGTGATGTAAATATGTTGACTATTTTTTAATTACTGAATGAGTTAAATCTCAAAGCTATACAAACTATGTCAAAAGTTTAACTTTCTGAAAACAAAGTGTTATTTTTATCTATATAAATATAATAGTACTGTCTGTTGTCTGTTGTATGTCCATGTAAC